TATATATATATATATATATATATGTGAACCAATGTTACAGATTATTCATATTGATTCATTCATTTATAAATGCATCTTTTAAATGGATTTTTTCAATATTCACATATGAACTTTCTCTTTTCACATTTTCTCAATATTTAGTCTTCTTATTTGAACCAACCTCTATATATACGAGGATTAAATGATAAGACAATCAACTTACGAGAAATGCAAGGTCAAACCACATGTGATCCTATAGTAAATCACATGTGATTTACAACATGTTTAGAAGGATGTGGGCGACTAGCCAACACAACCAAGGGTGTGTGAAGAATCGTCCGTTCAATAGCTGGTCGACACTCATTGCATTTATATAACCTTTGCATGATTAAGTGAAAGTGCTCTTATATCATGTTACTGTGAAGTTATACTGTATGAGATCGTAATATTCACATCACATTTAACTGTGTGTCGTGAATGTTGAGTTATACTGTGTGTATATTGCAATCTTCGCCATAATACAAGGAAGACATTCATAGTTTTCATGACAAACATCAATACAATATCAATATATATACATATGTTATCATGAAAATGGACTGTTCTCATAAGAACCCAACTCTTTACATATAAACACACATGTTTATTGTAATTTATCTATGTATTCAATTTTTTCTGCTAACAACGTATTTGATCTTTCAGCCAACTAAAATTGTGAAAGCCGAACCAACCAACCAAAACTTTGCCTACAAGAGATTAACATGACTGGACTCGAATCTAAAATTGATGATATCTTCAACAGATTTTTCAAATTTTCATTCAAAATAAAGAATTAAAACTTAAAATCCCAAAAAAATTACATTAATCTTCAACAGATTCTCTATTTTGAAGACTATAACCTCAATTATATTACTAAAATATTTTATACATATAGTTAAACATTATTTCTCTCATAAACGTTTAACATCAGTGTTTCTTATATGTGGATATATAATAAAAGATTGTGACTTCCTCATGGCAATCATTTTTGCTAAGTTCTCCAAATTTGGAGAATTTCACATTTTCCTTTCTCATGCTTTCTCTATTTTGGAGAATTTGTTGGAGATGCTCTGATGGCTAGGCAAGAGAAGGAGATCCACCCTATTTGGGAACCCAATGTACCCACCTCGACTGCAGATGGGGACATGGATCCTTGCCCCATCTCCTATGCCTACTAATGGCATCTAATATAACTAAATCCAAAACCTTTAGGGGACGTTTGGTTTGCAAGATTCCGACAGGATCTGAAGAAATTGGAGTGATCAATTTTGTTGATCAAATTCCATTCAGGCGTTTAATTTACCTATGGAATGGAATTGAATTCCACACATTCCACCATCCATGGATTTGGTTATTCCATCACAATTGAAAATGAATTCAATTCCATTTCAGCCCATTTTCTCAAAAAGACAAAATTATCTTCATCTTCCTTACTTGATTTAACCAAACCCATATGACCTCCATCTAAACCATCGCTGACCACCACCGTTCTGAACCACCGTTGACCACCACCGTTCTAAACCATAGCTGACTGCCACCGTTATAAAAGGGGTATTTTGGTCATTTATCGTTTATGTATTCCAATTTCGAAGGTACATTCTACCAATCAAACATGCAGATTCCAAATCATTTAACATATTCCATTACAACCAAACGTGCCGTCAAATTCCATTCTACTTCCAATCAAACACAATGATAGTTGCTAAGCTTCATATAAAATATATAATGGGTGGTTTGTTTGAACCATTACTAATTAAGTATGTATATTTTATCTCATTTATAACCCAAAAAAAACCCACACCTTTATTGAGGCATAAATTTGCACAATTGGCATCGTTTAAAGAAAAATCTAAGAAATTTATCTTTGTTCTCAAGGAATAATATGTTTTGGAATCTAATATTAATTATTAATTATTAACTATTAATTATTAATTATTAACTATTAATTATTAATCAGGTTTAATCTTGTACCATACATAACCAAACCATTTCTAAATTATTATGTTCATAGAATCAAATATGCTAAGATCTTAGTGCAATAAAAAAATAAAAATAAATAAAAAATTCATGACCGAACCTATATCTGAATCCGAATTCAAGTTATAAAATATATTTTTGACGTAGTCAAACTATGTCAATAAAGGCTGATACATACTCACGTAAACATAACAAAATCGAACACGTATAGTAAATTAGGGACCAGAGAGTGAGATGCACACATATATGAGATTGGAACATGTGAACCCTATACAACTGCATCTACCACACGAATTTATCAAATTCAGATAAGTTACCTATTATTATCCCTATGACATTAACCTAACACGTAAAGAGGTTAACACGGGTTCCAACCGTAGGCATTATATATCTGCCCAAAGGGGCACACAATTTACCACATCCATAACGGGTGACGGATCAGTACGTTTAGGGCACTCCAAAAAACCAGCGCCAAACCCATTTTGCAGATGATTCAATTGTTATCAAGATTTACAACCGACTGTAAATTATATTTTCCAGTAATCATGTTCGGCCCCAATCACGATCCTTCTTTATTTAAATGTTGATAATTTTATTGAATCGAAAATAAAGTTGTTTTAAAGATTATTATCTCAAAACTCATTTTGGTAATTTTCTTTATAGAACGAGGAAGCATATGATTGTTTGGGGAATAATATTTAAAGTAGCCAACAAAGCATCTGCTTTGGCATATGTTATGTTATAGCGACATCCCGATTGCCTTGTTATAAAAATCAACTTTACCTTTTAACCAATGTTTGTTGCATCCAATTCCAGTTCTTCTACCACTCAACCTTGCAATTGCATAAACTAAACTTATATACCATCACGATAAATTCCGCGATAGGGTATAAAACAACTTACTGGGTCCCATCAATCCTTTCGTGTTTCTCCAAGGTGCACAAGTATGTTTTGTGGGCGTACGAGAATGGGGGAGTTGGAAGTAAATAATTGTTGTAGGGGTACAGTCTGGTCGACATATGGTATAATCTCATAAAGCAGATCAAAGCCGGCGATGGTGTCTGGAGTCGAATACAAAGCATCTACTTTGAAAGAAAGCTCTTTGCCCCTAAGGGTATGACTCCATCCTTTAGAGCGTCCCTACTATACCGGTCCCACAACCATCATGGTAAGGTAAATTGCATGTCATGGAGACACGTCGATGGTGTCTGGAGTGGAAACCTAGACCTCTCATTCGTTCTACAAAAATGTGCACCTTTTTACCTGCTAAGCTTAGTTTAGGTCCCGGTTGATAAAATGTCATTTACAACCGGCTTGTGGAAAAAAATTAGTACATTTGGATTCAACTCGTGGCTTGAATGGTTTTAAAAGGTGTCCCATGACATGAGGCACGCCTGCGACACCATGTTAAATCCTATGGTGGATAAGTAAGGCGAACCACATGGTGGTGCTTGATTGGTTTGAGCTTAGCTCCAAAGGTCAAAAGTACCAGGAGGTCACAAGTTTAAATCCAAGGAGAAATAAAAATCCCCTTGTGGCCACGGAGGTTCAAATACGATGACTCCGGGCTATCTGCAAAGCAGGTGGTCGCCCTGGGATTAGTCGGCTCGCATAGCGGGTTGGATATCCAGGTTAATTAAAAAAAAACTGCGTTACACACGTCATAGGTTGAGGCATGCAACGGGGAGTTATGGCACAAGATTTCTTGAGCACATAATTTGACTATTTATTTATTTTTCCTTAGAAGTTGTCTTATTTTTACTTTTTACATTATTATGGACTTTTGATATCACACTTCTTGTAAGTGCTATCTTTACTTACACAAACACGCGCCCACATACACACAAGACATACATTTATATGTGTGCATGCTTTTTGAGGTGAGTTATTATGCAAACCTTTATATTCCTACAACTCTTACAACCAAATCAGGAGCGTCCATTTGATCGGTTGTAACTACCCTTTATTAGAAAAAAGAACCAAAAAAGAAAATTAAAAAAATGGATGGTGAATAGGTGGGTTGCATCGGTTATATAAATTTAGACGGTTTGCATTTGAATTCCCCTCTATGTTTTTTACTAATACTTGATATTAAACAATTTAATTTCACATAACAAATGATATATTATTGATATACTGTAATTAAATTGTTTAATATCATCCTATAGTAAAAAATATATATGTATACGTGTGTGTGTGTGTGAGAGATATTGATTTGCCGCCTTAAGCCCCACCTTGAAAAACATAATGACTCCTAACGCTTAAGCTTTGATCTTGCTGCCACACCATTTAGAACCCTGGTGGCTTATCAAACTCTAAGTCCGACTCTAAACACTAGAGTTGTGGCCTGGCTCATCAATGCTCAATTTCTATGGTCAACATTGGCCGATATAATCTTAGTACAGAAGGAACTAGAAATATTAAAATGTAATCACAATCAAATCCCCTTTGAATTACAGATTTGTATAGGTTTAGTAATCTGGGCTCATTTCAAGTTTGGTTCCTTTGGTTTCTAGTAGTTGTATGGCTTATTTTTCTTTATGTATTTATTGGGAGGTGAGGATTTTGATGCCACAAACCTCAATGGACCCAAGATTTGCATTAAAGTTGACAAAAGCAAACTTCTTTAAGACCAGAACTCAGAATCTACAAGCTGCAAAGCCAACACCCCCCCAAGTTTTTAAACCAACCACAACACACTTTATTTTGGATGGCTAATTTACCTAAAGATAACAGAATCATCCCCAATTCCCCATTAGATTCTACTTTAGTAAGAGTATCTAACAAGTACATCAACATTTCAAATTTAAGCCGTACGTACCCGTACCGTAAGCAAAGCGCAAGGTCCCACTTACTACTTTCGTTCTGGTTTGGCTGTATGCATATCAAGAAACATCAAGGGAATGAGTGGATACAATCTAAGCCATTAAACTAACGTAAAGAAATGACATTCATGTCATCATGGAAAATACATACAAGATGATGAAAGCTGTGTTTGACAAACTAGTTGATAAACTAGTCATGCTTGGTAAAAAAAAACTAGCAGATAAGCTAAATGACAATGTGAAACGATTTAAAAGAAATGCTGAGAAATTAATTGAAAAAATGGAAGGGACATAATTAGAAGAAAAGCTAGCTTTTTACGGCTAACCGAACGGATCTTTTTCAATAAGCTCAAAAAATAAGTTAGCTTATGATTCCCAAACATGGCAGAAACTAGCTTTGAACGATTGAATCTAGTGGTGAATGAGGAGATGGTAAGCAGCAATTAACATCAAACAATGAAGTAAAAAGAAGATGACCATAATCTCGGTGATTTACATGCATGGTAGTTATGTCATTATCATAACCACACACATGCATCAAGCATCATCATTCATCATGGATAAATAAATAGAAATGGCCAAAATATAGAAGAAAGAAAAGTAAAGGTACACATTTGGCACTATAAACTAAGACTGTTCTTTTGCTGCATGGGGAACAGAGCTTGGAATTCTAAAGTGAGATTTTCAAAGGGGCATAAAGTGAATGCTTGGTTTTTTTGCAAGGGTTCTTTTTTTTTTTAATTTAATATTTTCTACTATTTGTCTTTATGACTAGCCTAACACAGTTCCAATCTGTTAATTCTCTTTCAAAGCAGCTTAATCACTCTTTTCTTACTAACTAAGGAATAATGATTTACCAAAATACCCTGCATACAAAAATTCCCCATGTCAATTATATTTACATGTTTTACCACATCAGCAATTCAGCATTAGAAACATGGTACCAACACAAATGCACTGGATCCCGTTAGAATTCTGCAGTTAACTGTTCTCGGGCGAGAATAGTACTAGGATGGCTGATCCCCGTGGGAAGTCCTAGTCTAGACCCCACCTCCGGGTGGGATACATAGGCCTCGTCTGGTTTGGTTCGGTTCAGCATAGAATCATGATCTTCTGATGTGGCAAGATGTCATGGAGTCCAAGAGAGTGGTTTTGTCTTTGATCAGTAGACAAAAGTAGAGAGGAGTGAAAAAGATGCTTGGCTTCTCAGGGGTACTATAGTCATCCTAGTCAGATTCTTCTTTTCTAACAGCCTTAATCTGCTTGGATAGAAGGCTTATGATTGGGATAATCTACAACTTCTAGGGCATCTGGGTCCCATCCTGCTTTATTCTATAAATCACAGGCTTATATCTAAGCAGTGGATCACAACACCAGGAGGATTTAACTGTCAATCTTACTCCAAAGAAGATATCATCTCTTTTCTTCTCTCCTTCTCTTGTTTGCTTACAAACTATGATTTCTAGTACTCATAAACTATTCATCCTTCTTACCTGTTTTGGGATATTAGCAGTTGAACCATATATGGTTTTCGGCTTCAGAAATATAGGCATTGAACTAAAATGGAAGAAAGAAAACCATGGAGAACTCCCCATGAATCATCGCATGCTCAAGAATGTTTCCATGGAGGATCTTCAAGCAAAGCCATCACCTGCAGCTTTCAGCAAGAAACTTGATCCTTATCATGCAAGTAACAGAACAGTTCGAAGAGGGTCGGACCCCATCCACAACCGATCTTAATATTACAGGATACAATTCAGAAGCAACTTGAAAGACTTCAGTTGAAACCAAAGGTTATTTGATGAACTGATGATTTTTTTTTTAAATTCCGTTATAGGAGGTAGTATTATAGAGTGATGTGCATAATCAGATTTTAAGGATGCCCTCAGTGAATTTTGACATGATCTTAAAGAGTTCATCGAAGATGGTGTTGTCTGCCAAAAAAAAAAATGACGGGTTTTTTTTCTTCTTAATTCTTGTTTGAACAAGAATGGGAACAAGAACAAGAACAAGAGCAAGAGCATGAGCAAAGATGTGTCTTTATTTGTTATTTTACATTCTTACAGATGTAGTGATATTGTTTTCTACCTGTTCTTAATCTAATAGAATCATGTTATTCAATCTGCACTCTTATATTTCAGAAAAGTAATTTTGTTGCCTTGTCCTACAGAAACATGTAAACCAGCATTGACAAGGTTCAACTGAGAATCTCAGTTAACTGGATGGGATAAGAAATAACAAAAACTTGTTGTCCCACGTTTGGTAAATTACTAAACTACCCATGTCAATTTCAAACCCTAAAACCTTGGATAATTCTTTCACCTGCTTACCTAACTCTCACCCATCACGTCCCGTCTAGTCCCGTTCTGTCCACCGTAAGCATGCAGTCTTCTTATATGCTAAAACGTTGCCTATTCAAGGAAGTAGAAAATATTTCTCTTCAACGTTAAGAAGGGATAAGGTGTGCATGCAAGAAGCTCAGAGGTGCTTCACGAAAGGTTTGGTTGAATATTTTGAATGTGAAACATCTTAAAATATTCAACCAAAGTAACATCAAGCTGAAAGAAACAGAGTAAGCCAAAGATTTACTAAGGTAACTCTGCTCGGAATATACAAATTCCCTTCTACGATCCCTGAAAAGTATCATCTCAACAAGTATGCACAAAAAATTGTTAATCTTAATCACCAGTATCTTCTAACTTTTTCTGCAAAGCCACTTCTTTTGTTCGGGGATGTTGTTCATGATTAAATTGCAGTGCAGCGATATCATTTATACTGATATACTGTATTTTGAAGAATTTGGTAATAGATTTCTGTATAATTTCAGTTATTTAATTTTTAATTTCTGCTACCATATATTTTGATGATCTTGGGATGATGTACTTGGAGTTACTGGGTGGCTACATGTCTCAGGTACAAAAAACAGAGTAATGGATAGAGCTTCAATCTCCTTTGATTAAGTCATTTTTGCTCCGATGCCATGATAAGTACAAATGATTCAAACTGGCCACAAACAACTGGTTTTGAGTTGAAACTTGAAGTAGTCGTGCACTAAGTGACTATCGGTGTTGTCATAAAAGTAGGAACCTTTTATATGTGACAAAACTGTAGACTTTAAGAATGTTCATCCAATCAAGAACAGAATTGGTAGGCGAATGATAAAAGGACATCTTTAAATAATGAGTATGTTGTCAATCCCCATGCAATTTCGAAAAGAAATAATTCAGATACTGGGATTTGGTCCATTTGGAGAAAAAGGGAGCAGGGAAAATGTTATTAACAAAGGTCAGGAAGCTAGACCTCAATTTTCATAATGTTACCAAAACAAATCAACTGCAATTTCTAATCACAATATTTCTCCAACACGAAAGTAGTTGCAGTGTAAGCAGTAGGGAGGGGAGACCCCTGAATGGATACTATGTATTTGGAGGGTGATTCCAATTCCATAGGGAAGCCCAATGTCAACATTGACCCATGCCCCAAAATTAGATTTAGGACTTGGAATACAAGCATCAATAAACTATAATCATATATAATATGGCCTGGAAAATAGTAGGGGCAAAGTGTCATGATTGAACCTAAATCTGCTTGAAATTGAACGCATGGGTGAATCCAATGATAAAACGGGGAGCAGTCAAATTTAACCCATTGACAGTATCAACGGTTCTCCCAACAAATAATATTCCTAAACCCCGTGAATCCCTCTTTACACAGAAAACCAAAGTAAAAAGAGACCACCTATCTCAAAGATATCTCATCCTGTCATCAAGAGTACTTAGGGGCCACACCCCCTTGCCTTTTCGCTTTTCCAGTGACATCAATAGGAGATTGGTGAAATGTTATATAGGCCTCTTACATTACTACAGGTACAAAAATGCCCATCGTTTTACACAAATGATGGTTTCCAGAGTTTATATATTAATATAAACCAAGGAAAACCACCAAGCATCTTAATATAGATAAACCTAACCAAATGGATCCCAATAAATCCCACTCAAAAGTAGATTTTCGCAGAGTGGGGAGTTACGATGTGCATAGACTTGGGCTCTACCTCAAAGAGTAGAATAGTTGCTTCCACGAAGAAGCCAGGCTTGTGCAAGAGAGTGAGCAATAAAGATTAGCATATGAACAGAACACGAGAGAAGTAAGTAAGAATAAGTACTAAGAGGTACATTGAACAAATACCAAAGGTAAGTTAAGGTAAGGCAATACTGACCAGGAACACATATCCAGCCTAAACTGCAAGCCCTCTACCCCCTCTCCTAACCTATCCAACTCCCTTCTCCCCGACTATACTTGCTATAGGTCCCCATTCCTAGTGTGCCACCCTAATCCTCCATCTTAGCATAGATAGTTAAGATCAATTCTTGTGTACTAGAGTAAAAAAAGACAATCCTATTCACACCCTATCTCTGTTCTCAGTTTGCATCAAGTTTATTGTTATGCACATGATTATTCCGTAGCTCCCTTCTAAGAGATTTCTTACTGGTTAAAACAGCAATTCTACTTATTTCAACTCTCTTTAGCAATCCGTTCAAAGTCTGCATCAACCAGTCTCATTTAAGAGAACTTTTTTCCCATGCAAGTGATTGACTTGTTCTTCAATATATGTTCTATTCATAATCATTTCTTCAAGTTGTTTGTATTCTTCCTACTTGATCTTGCTGCTACTTATATGATCGCCAAGACTGTGGATCATTTCAACCTAGATACTTGTTTTTGTGGGGTGTCATCTGTCTTTACATACTATGGCATCATCAGAAAATTTGGGAATCCTTCAAACGTTGGGTTTAGAAAATTATTTCTTGGTTCATTTTTCCTTGAGCACCACGGTGTATATTCTCAACTCATAGCTGCTCTTCTTGTCGATGTTTCTTCCAATCACAAAACCAAAACATAAACTAAACAGCAGTATCCTAATTATTATTCCATCTTACCATCTATCAAACACATTCTGCATACCAAACTGCAAAACACCACCTCCAATACACTTCGAAACGCTGGTATTCATGGAGTAGTGTAATTTCACTAGATTCTTAATAAAATTAAAACCAAAATTCAATACATAAATTCGAATATGAGATAATAGAGACCTGATTTCACAACAACTTGGAGTGAAATCTGTTCAGATTAAACCTCACCTGTTTCAAACACTACATCGATGCTCGCGAATCTAGTGGCTGAAGCTCTGATTAGGGCTCGAGCGTGAAGAATACGCTCAAAAATGCCGACGGACGTGTTATGGAGATGAAAAGGGAAACGATAACAAAATAACTTCAACATCACAATAATATCGTATCAAAGTATAAACATTGAGAGCATGGAGGGACCTGGAAAATTTTTCATACGGTTGCACCATATAATCAATATAATATAATATATATTTAAAAATAATTATAAAAAATATGGTTTTTATTGTATCGATAAATAGCTCATAAACTTTTACCCGATTCGTCTTCATCTTTTGAAAACGGTCAATATATACCCAAAAATAATTACAAAAAGTATGTTAAGAAACAACTCCTAAATTTGTCCTTGGCGTGTCTTCACGAAATGGTAAAACATTCTCCAACAAATATCTACAAACTTCAACTGAAGCATTCAATCGCATGTGGTACTCGGTCTTCATGAGTTCTGTTTGTTTACGAAGGACAAGAGCAATTGATTGGTTTTGGTTAACCAAATCTTGACATTTTTTAAGTGCTTTATGATGAAAACTATTAACCTCACCCTCATGAAGCGTAAGTCTATCTTTTTTACTCCAACAATTAAATTCTTCCGCCACAAATGCATCTATCCCATGATTCCCACCTTGGTCTCTGAACAAGTAACAAGGCAAACAATATGCTCTATCTATTTTAACACTGTATTCCAACCACTGAAATTGATCAAACCAAGAAACAACAAACCGTCTTCCTTTAGTCCCTATAACTGTAGTTGGAAAGATGTGACCTCGTGGTTGACAAGGACCCCTTACCAAGTATTTCCGTCTAATTTCGTCTCTTTGATTTATGTTATAAGTTATAATTTTGGGTCTTTCGGATGGATCCCAAGGAAGATCATTAACATCAATCATATTGTTGGATGCATCATTACCGGTTGATGATGAAGCTTTTCGTTTCAAATATTTTTCCATAATGAATGAGTTATGTAAATCTAAGTAATGAAAACAATAATAAGTAATCACTAATCAGTAATGAGTAATGTAAATAAGTAAATCTAAACATAGTAAACAGTAAACAAAAAAGAATGATCAATTTGTATAACCTAAACAATTAATCAACTAATCAAGTAAACAGTAAACAAAAAAGAATGATCAATTTGTATAACCTAAACAATTAATCAACTAATCAAGTAAACAGTAAACAAAAAAGAATGATCAATTTGTATAACCTAAAACAGTTAATCAACTAATCAAGTAAACAGTAAACAGTAAACAGAAAAGAATGATCAATTTGTATAACCTAAACCTAAATCAAATAAGGGATTGAGATTTGAGTCTGAGTCAGTACCGATGGCGAGCGAGTTGAGTTCCAATTCCAAAATCGAATCGATTCTCTTTTCTCGTGGTCCCTCCCTGCTCCCTGGTCCGGTTGGTGGTCCTCCACCTGGTTGTGGTTGTAGCTGTCGGCTTGTCGCACACAAATACACAATGTCGCTCACTCGCTCTCTCACGCCTCAAGCTCTCACTCGCTCACTCGACAGTCGACACTCGCTCACGGCTCATGCTGTCTGTCACGCACGGTCGCTGTAACAAGGTTACAGATTTGGGGCTTTATCTCTTTAGTTAATGCCTTAATGGACCATTAAATTTAGGGCTTTAGTTAATGGACCATTAGATTTTATTTGGGCTTATTTTTGCATTTTATTTATGCTTTAGTTGCACTCTTAAAATTTTAGGAAAAATACGGTAGCACCTTCCGAAACGATACGGTAGCACCGTTAACAAACCTAAAAATTTTACCCTTCGGAGGCGAAATAATACGGTGGCACGTGCCACCCATGGCGACACACTAGGTCCGCCCCTGATTGAGAGCCCGTGAGAAGCAATTGGCGTGTTTATCGGTTGACATTTTGAGTGGAACAAACCGGATCATTCAATGTTGGAATCCGTTTCGATTAACATCGGATAATTGATCAAATCCAATTCAGTGGATAATTAGATTGGTTCGATTCCATTGCATATTTTTATTGGATATTCATCGTATATCCGATGGATGATCCGTTGGAATTGGATCCATCCAATGTATTAATTCAATCCGATTTTTCAATAATGTACAAATTGATTAATCACTTTTAATATGAGGAATGTTAATGGCACTCCTTAATAAGGGGTGTTGAATGTTTGAAAATTATGCATTCTTTAAAATATATAAAACATCAAATCGATTTAATAATATATTATATTTAATTATTATTATTATTATTTAATATATATATATATATATAAATAAATTAATTAATTAATTTAAACTTATCTATACTATATTATAAAGCATTTGGCTAAAACTCTTAAAAACTCTTAAAACCGTTCATCCCTATCCGATTTCATCCCATATCTGAATTCGTGTAACTAACTACAGATAAACACAATCAAATACAGGATAAACATCTCATTTTAAATATAAAAAATCTAAAATATAATTAAGATAATCATTGAGTTCTAACAGAATACTT